AAATCTCAGGTTCCCAGTTTTCTCAGTTTCCGAGTTACCCAAATTCTAGCCAGAAAATTCCACTGGGCCGTACGTGGCAACCACGCATATTTGGGGGCTGAATTTGATAAATTCAAGTTGTAGATGAGTTCGGAACATTTCCTGAAAGTTTCAGCCTCCCAGCTTCCCTGATTCCGGAGTTAGCCATTTTCCCGCCAAAAATTTTCACGGGGCCGTACGTGGCAGCCACGCACAACGGGGGCTGAATTTGATAAATTTAAGTTGTAGATGAGTTGGGTACATTTTCTGAAAATTTCAGCCCCCCCAACTTTCCTGGTTCCCGAGCTAGCGATTTTCGCGCCAGGAGCCCTCACGGGGCCGTACGCGGGAACCACGAACCGCCGGGGGCTGAATTTGAAATCTTTGAGTTTTACTTGGGCTGGAAACATAATCCCAAAATTTCAGCTTTCCAGCCTTCCTGGTTCTCGAGTTAGCGATTTTCCCGCCAAAACTTTTGAGGCGCTCGTACGCGAGGCCTAGAAATGCTTGAGGGTGGTACCGCGGTCCTGGGGTGGCACATGGGTGGGGAACCCACACGCAAAATTTTGGCGCCGGAGCTTGCATGGGTGCCAAGTTGATATACCCGGACACACACACACACACACACACACACACACACACACACACACACATACACACACACACCGGAATTGTCACAATATGTGTATTTGCATATATGCAAAAACGCATAAAAACTTAGCCGCTGACCTCCACTTCATTGCTACAAGCTTATTATTACGGTATGTGGAAGCTAAGCAAAAGCAAAAAAAAACCTACTGCTTTGCTACACTGAGAATTCTTGGACTGGATTCTACGGCAGTTGAACGAATATGTGTACAGGCCTTTCTCTTCTAACTATTTTGAAGAGTTAGGCTCTGGCTTGATGCTATTCTTACACTTTGCTCCAAGGCTTTCTAAATTATCCCCAGCTGGCCAGTCCAGCATAATCGCCTAACGATGGCAAGAAAACGAATAAGCGCTTGTTTCGAAGCACTGTTTCGTTCAATGCCACCTTCACTGGCTCATTATGAATGACCATAACCATTTAAAATTGACAGGGAAGATTAGTATATGTATCAGTTATTAGTGACGCTTCTGGGGCAAATGTAAGCGCTGGCCGCAGCTTTGCCAGGTACTTATGTTTTGGATGAGTTTCTCCAAAAGCTTGTCATGAACTTGTATGAGATCAAAATAAAATCGTTTACGAATATTAACTTAAGAAAATGAAGTATTTTGCTCACCGGATCAAATGATACTTTTACAAAACAGAACAATAATTCGCAGTGGTAATGGGTTTGCTTGCAGAAAATGTACGAAAGAACTATGACAAAGTATGCTCGAAAACCATAAAAAATCCCAGAAGTAATGAAAACAGAAAATGATAGGCACCCGCTTTTTTAGAGGAGGACTAAGTACAAAAACTTCGATATCATGCTGAACTTTCAACAGCTTCTTCGAAGCATAATAGCAAAACTTTTAGCAGTTCCTTTGAATTTGGATTAATATGGTAAAATATTAATAGTCGTCAAGTGTTAAGCACTAAGTGATATTAATAACTATTAATGCCTAATAAGTAATTATAAGTAATATTAAATCGTTCAAGAAAGAAAATTTTAACGTATGTTTTGTGGAAAATATGGTTAAACGTCTGTTTCCTTTTTCTGCTTATCCAGTAATGGACAAGATAGATTCCAAGAATAACTTCTGAAACCTCTTTCCTTGGAAGCGGTTGCGGCAGGGTCAGGACATCAAAAATCAACATATCACTATCTCGATATGCTTCCAAATTAACTGCCCGAACTCTTAACAGCACTCAGCTCTACTTCTAGGCCACTGCTCTATGATGCTTGCCTCATATCCTCAGAGGACGACTTTGAAACTAATGAAAATCA